GATCAAATATTGACAATGATTCTAGCACGAAAAAATACGTTCATTGCTTTCGTTCAGCCACGGAGTTGAAGGCCAAGGGAATTCACTTTAGGACCAGCAGTGCTGATTCTTCGAAGGGCATCAAGTTCAAATCAGGTTATTTCTATGCAACACTTGAAGTTCCAATTTGGTTTGTTTCGATTGACACCAAAGTTTTCTTTTTAAATATGATTGCCTATGAAATGTGCCCAAGTACCAGCACTGACCGAGCAGTGACAGCATATATTGAGTTCATGAAATCGCTGATCGACAACCCCAAGGATGTGAAAGAACTAAGGGAAAAAAAGGATATTGCTCACAACTTTGGGCAGTGATGACGAATTGTTGAAGGTTTATAAAGACATAAACACTTGCGGGGTGCACAATGTCACCATTTTCATAATGTGAAGGAGAAAATTCAAGCACACTATAACAACAAGGCAAAGACATGGCTGGCTGAACTCTTCTACACTTATTTTAACAGTGTATTAACTTTTCTTCAGACCTATTATACAGTAAGGCCTTCTTAATTCCCTAAAGATAATTAGAAGTTGAAATAGTAACGGTAAAGACGAGAGTTCTGTGGGCCGGATCAAATTAGTAAAAAGAAAAAAAAAAGTTTTAGGGACTGTACAGAACATCTATGTATTCTGAGTGTGTTTATTTTCTTAATTTGACGATGTTGTACAATAGACTTGTGTCATATGTTGATGTTGTACAATAGTCTTATATTATTTATTCTTTTGCCGCATTTAGTTCTCCAATGTTAAGTTTTTTATATTTTAATTTATGGCATGTGCATCAAATTTTGATTAGGGATTGGCGCAGGTCCAGTTGTGCTTGGTTGAGTTAACTTTCAAAAAAATTGGTATACACATACGTCAAGATTTATGTACATGAACTAAAATTTTTTCCCCTGAGTTACGTACAAGAACTAGCAATCAATATATATATATATATATATATATATATCAAGAATTACTATATATTGGTATATTTTTTCCTGAGTCATGTACATAAACTAAAATTACTTTTTTTGTTAATGCATGTGCATCTATAACTATTGTTAACATAACGAAACTAATGGTCTTGTACATGCAATACAATGAATGCAAAAGAGCTCGATGAGATTGAAATCTTGGCTTGCCATCTAGTAAATCTGGGTGGTTCTTGATCAAATAATGGACTCGCCTCCATAATTCAAATTCGTCAGGGGCAATCCGGTCTCAGTATGATCACTGGCTTTTAGAAACCAATCAAACAAAACATGGCTTAAGAATGGGCCATATATAGCACCAAGACTCCATTAACAGGCGCTATACTGTTGCCACATGCATGTGCATTCAGCCCTGTAGACAGAATAAGCAATCAAGGATAATTTTGTCAGTTGCTACAGCTAGAGCAACTCCCTTACATTCTTGAACACTTTTCGATTCCTCAAGGATCTCGAAAAGCCCAGATGATGGAAAATACACTTTGAGAGTGTGAGAGGATGCCAATCAACGGAGAGAGACGAGTACTTGTGTCACATCCTATGAGTCATTGGGTGAATTTGCCAGAAAAATCAAGGGTCGGAGAGCAATATTGGAGTCTTTTTGACATAACAGCCCACGAGATCAACTCCAGATAGATTGCAAAACAACACAATCTTGTAAGTTCCTGAAATGATTTTAACTCCAAAGATGACATGTCGTACCATAGCTTATCCTTAAATCTTTTATTACTATTTGTTAGGATTCAAGCGCAGAACAAATAACTATTAAGATATCAAGTATACAATAATTAATAATAAATAAGTCACAAGTATGAAAGATAAACGACACAATATTTATTTAATGTGGTTTGGTTCCACTATTGAGCCTACGTCCACGGAGAGAAACTCATTCTTTATTATGAGAGAAAAAAATCCTATACAAGAATACAACTTAAACCAAAATCTAATCTTTATATACCATCTCTCATCTTTCAAGAACTCTCTCTCTCCACCCATGTATTGGGCTACATGTCGCCTCTTGTGTGCCCCTTGTGTGTCTCTTGTATAGTATGCTAATCCACATATTTATGGAAAATATTATCTGATCAAAAACCCAAATAACAACAGGAAACCAATTCTAATTCCTAGACTTGTCCAGAATAGGAAATAATTTCTAATCCTAAATAAAATAGGAAATTTCTTGACTACTATTTTAAGTAACCAAAATCAATTAAAAAACTAGTTACTTCCACACAAAACAAGAAATCTATCTAAAAGAAATTAAACTAATTTCCTAACACCATGCTCAAGAGGCCACGATCGGGCGTGTATAGGATTTTGCTAAGCGGAGAGGATGGTGAAAAGATCGAAGTTGTTTGTCACATGGATACCCCTCGCTGGAGCCATGGTCACATTGCCTTCCGGGACCTCCCCTATTTGCCATGTTAGTGCGGCAGAAAGCTTTGCACTGGTTCCAATCTAGGGCTCTATCATTCGGCCATAGAGTCCAAGAGCTCAAGTTTCCATCTCTATTTGGCTGCTGTATTGGTCGTGTGCCCCGTCTTTCACTTGAATCTAAATAACACTACGACTCAAAGACTGGTTCTGCTTTCAGCTTTGAACGTTTTATCTCCTCAAAAAAAAAAAAAAAAAAAAAGCTCTGATCTTTTTATGTATTTCGATTTCTATCTGAATTTCAAGCTTGTATTTTAGTAGATTTCGGTGCAGCCTATACTACTTTTCCATTTCTGCCACTGTCCTAGAATTTGGATTATTGCAGGAGAAGCTACTTTTCAAAGGAACAACCTCACGTCCGTGTACATGCACATACATAAATGCGCGTGTATGTATCTATATACACGCACATCTATCATTTTTTCCCCCCCGATGGAAGGCATGATTGATGCAGTTCACTCTAAACTATTTTTCCTATGGTGTCTCCCTCTTCTGGCAACTTTTTTCCATTCGAATAAATATAAATTATTTTCTTAATCATATAGAGTAACTTTTGATAGGGTGCTTTATATTGTTACATTTGCAATTTTATTAACTTGGCTAAAAATGGTCTGCTGCATCTTTTGTGTTTACTTGAAAACAAATACATAGTTTAAGGTGTATAATAATTGTAATAGTTTTGTAACTACCTCAAAGAATTAGATTAGTGAAAGGGTAAATTTTTCAATATATTAATTTGACTTAAACTTTGAACTATTGATTGTTAGTTTTAATAGAAAAATTAATGATGATATGTTAACCTAGATTATGAGGACGTTGTGTTAGATTTTTAAACTATAGAGGGGTTATATGATAAACTACCAAATCACAGGAGGGAAAATTTTAATTTAATAAAAATTATTGTGCTTTAAGTACTTGTAAAGTTTAAAACTTAATAATTTGTAATTTTGTTTTACACCTGTGCATCCATTGAAATAAACATTATGTACTAACACATATTTCTTGGATACATTGAATGGCAAACCAATTCTTTACCTATAATCTACGAAGGTTAATTTGCATGAAGCTAGCTAAACAGAAAGTGCAATAAAACACAATTTGCTACTCTTCTGTTTTGATACATTGTACATACATAATGGAGCAATAAATTTGAATTACACTCATAAGTTGTTTAAACGGAGTTTAAAGCATTATTTGTTGTTAACTTTGAGAGGATAAACCATGAAATAGTACTATAAATTTCACAAATTTTAAGTGCAATTGTACAACTTTTTTTTCGTTACCTTGGATGAAGTCATCATAATGAATTGTGTCCTAGTGCCATCTACTTGCGTTGTTTAGACAGCCCAAAGTTTAAACTTTACATAAATCGAGTAAACTTTTTTGTGAACAAGTTATTCACCTCAAAAAATAAAAACTCACATTATGTGCTCATCTTCATAAAAATGTAGGGATGGATTGGATGGTATGAAAAAAGAGTGTAAGTGAAAGGTTTGGAGTTCAAATTTCTCACTTACACTAAAAATAAAAAATCTTCGCTAAAATATTTATTATGCACATAGTAAGTGAAGCTGTATTTTCAGCTTTGTACTTTTCAAATATATTGGCATTATTGACGTACAATTCATTATTCATATCATGCGTATTATAAAATTTCATATTATTTTCATGTTTTAATAAATATGCCCCTGCTTACTTTTTATCCTTTTATAGACCATTGCTACTTGCTTTAATCCTGTATAATTAGAGCACTTAAAAAAAAAAAAGAGAGACTAATCCTTACAATGGAGAAAGAGGAAGGGATTAGCTTGAGAATCGAAATACAATTTCATGTTCATCTAATTCATAATGGCCCCTTCAATTAAGATGGATCTTGAGACTATAATTAGAGTTACCGAAACAAAAATCCATGTAATTTCCCAATAATATTGAGTGCGTAAGTGGATAATTGCAAGTTATGCGGTACTCAGTTACCCATAATATGATTTTCACTTAATGTTTAGGATTAGTGTTGTGTATACTAACACGTAGAATCCATGTCACAGAACCAAGTTTAAAGTCAAATAATTGGGACAAAAAGAAAACAAGGTTACCTGTAAATAAACAAGCCTTTTAATGTCAAAACTAGCTAGAATTATTTGATCATTTCTTAGTTTGAGAAACTTGATATTTGCTATCAACTGCTTCTTCTCTTGTTGTATCTTAAAGTTAAATTACCATATCTCTACAGCAAATACTTAGTGTAGTATGGATAATTAAATTCCTAAGAGTAGCGATCAATCACGCTTCAAGAGTTCTCCATTCTTTCCCTTCTTTTGTGAAAGTTTACTCGAGAATTTTCTGTACTTCTAATGTGCATTCGTACCACACACATAGTTAGAAAATTGAATCGATATATATATATATATATATTTGGTCCTGGTTTCGTACAAGAGTACGAGTTTGCAGAACTCTTTTTAGATTATCAAGGTAAAGCGGTTCGCTCACTCTACGATTCTTATAATGCTTGAATAGTGCTCATTTTTTGTGCACTTCCTGTATATGGTAAATGGCAAAAAGAACAACAAACAAAGAAACAGAAAATGCACTCAACTGTACTGACATTTATTACGGAACGCTTGGTTGAAAGAAGACAATGGATAAAAACGGACCAGCTAGAAGAGACACAGGTCCGTAGTCCGTACAGAGGTAAAGTTGCGGCTTCCCTGGACATTAATTATCTTTCATTGGCTTAGCGTCGTCGCCATGATAGAAGAGATGGGAGCCACGTTTCGACTCAAAGTCTTTCATCAGCGTTTTCTCCTCGGCGCCATAATGATATAAGAGAAGGGAGCCAAGCTTCGACTCAAAGTCTTTCCTCAGAGGTTTCTCCTCGGCGCCATAATGATATAAGAGAAGGGAGCCAAGCTTCGACTCAAAGTCTTTCCTCAGAGGAGCGCCAAATAATGAGTCTTTCCTCAGAGGTTTCTCCTCGGCGCCATAATGATATAAGAGAAGGGAGCCAAGCTTCGACTCAAAGTCTTTCACCAGAGGAGAAGCGTCGTCGCCATGATAGAAGAGATGGGAGCCACGCTTCGACTCAAAGTCTTTCAATGTGTTACCATTAGTTGTCTTCTTCTGATTGGAAGGGGACGGCTCTGCATGGTGATTGTCCTCAGTATGCTCATTAATGACAGCAGATTGCAAAAAGTCCGTAGGATTCTTCCTTGCTTCCGTGATGCATCCAAACTGCACATTAGTGCAAATATCACCATAAAAGAAACTAACGTCAATATAGCCATATAGGTACGTTGATGGTAGCACTGTAAAAGATGACCCCTTGTAGGGAAGGATAGTTATGTCCAAATACGAGCTCAACTGGCAACAGGAATATTCATTTGTTGATTTTAAGGTATTGATTTGACCTTCAAGCTTTCCCGGATGAATCCTCCAACTAAAAAATGGTAAATAGTGTCATATGCCATTACTCAAGTTACATTGACGTTTAAGTATGGTACCAGCATTGGTAATGTTTGGAAGTCAAGATTTTATCAGAATAGAACTACAGAGCCATCTGAAGAGCTTCCATTCCTTCAGTGGCGATGGTTAGAGCTGCAGATGAATGTGCAAAAAGGAAGAAGAATGTGTTTTCTCAGGTAGCTTTAATTCACGGGTTTCATCAGTATTCCTATACAGTCTAGCAATTATCTCGTATGAACTACTACTTCAAGTACAGTATTGATGGTTGAGAAACCTTACCAGGGCAATTGAAAAGACTGCGATCAGAGTGATAGATGAAGCCATGCCTTGCCTATGACAAGCCTCAAAATGTAACTTTGGTGGTGAAAAGACTCTTGGGGGCTATACGGCTATTTATACAAGGCGATAGCTAAGTGAAGCTAGCAAGGTTACAGCATGGATCACGTGGCTGGTTGGTTTGCATCACGTGGGTAGGTCTACATTTTGGTCCTTTTTTTTCTAAACAATCTACAGTTATGGTCTAAAATAAATTTAGTGATTTTGTGTAGGTCTACTAGATTCAATGTTCTAGTATTCAAACTTGTTAGATTATTTAATAAACTTAAAACTGTACTCAAACTTGATTTTTTAAAAATTTTTTTAAGAGGAAGGTCTTCAAATTTGACTTGTTTATTAATTAAGCCAAACTCAAATGAGTTTTTTTATAGAATCGAGCATGAGTCGAACTTGAGTAACTTGAATTTTTTACTTGTAAATTCTAATTTTATGTTAATCAAGCCAAGTTAATGCCAAATTTGATAGTTAATCTAACACATAATAATACTTCTTAAATTTTAAATTGATTAGTTGGCAAACTAAGTTCAAACAAACTTTTCTTTAGCCAAATTTGATTTGAGTATCAAATAATTTGGTTCATTTTTCAACCTCAATAAGAAACACTATCTGTCAAGGGGTCATATTTTAATCGACTATTTGAAAAAGAACCTTCTAATCAAGCACACTTTTCATCGATATGTAATATTTGGCATTTGCTTCTGCTGTTGCCTAATCCTTCAAAGGAGGAGTTGCAAGGGATATAAAACCTACCAATTGATGGATTCCAAAGGACTTGCTTGTTGGATTATCCTCCTCCATCTGTTGGTTGTTCTGGTAAGTTACTTTGCCATTAATTTTTTTTTTCCCGTGATATACTTAATTCTCACTCTCTTAAAACGCATTGCAACCTTTACAGGGAGGAACTTGTGATATTATACCCAAGGCCAAGGATAGTACTAATGCAATCAGGCTCTAGGACTTGGATGTTAATAATCCTCATCGAAATGATAAGAGACATGATGTTAATCACGTCCATGAAAAGAAACCCCACATGAAACCATGGATTCACGGAATTTAGTTCTGAAATGACCTTTTTTAGGAAAAATGTTCCCACTATGATGCTCTTTTGTAAATTATTACCATTTTAATCTTTTTTTTTTTGTCATGTAAGCTCCCATTTTAAATGCAGGAAGACCTTAATTAAATGAACATGATGAACCTTCTCATGCTATAATCTTACTCAATTCATACTCAAAGTTCAAAACCCAAATCCAAAGCAAAAAAGAAAGGGGCAACAAACATAAGATTCCACATTCGACTAATGAATAAGATATTATAATTTAGAAGTATTTTATATTTTAAACACTTCAATCATCCAAATTCCTTTATATTACACCAATAGGATTTGATATTGGATTTTTAGAAATAATATTATCATGTTACTCCCAAGAATTAGAGATCCTGAATTTTGATCTCTTTGTTCTTTTTTCACTTTTTAAATCCCATCATTCCCCTACTAAATTTTCTTAATAAAAATGTCACTCATAAAAAATGAAAAAGAAATTCTATAATCATTTTATAATATTTTAGCATTAATCAAATATAGAGTCTTTCCCTATGTTTATAACCTTGTCTTTTTTTTTTTTTTTCATTTTCATCCTTGAATTTTGCTTTTTTTTTTAATTAAATATTAGTTTATTTTATTGATAGGAGCAAATTTTACACATTGAGAAAGACCAATTCGAAGTACAGCAATCGACTGAAAAGGTAATAAAGCACACAAAACCTCCATGTCTCATTCAACCGCAACCGCAACCGCATATTAGCTCCAGTTGTCCTTTGTTCTCAGCCCTTCATACGCTTACTTTTCCGAATTGAAGGCATTCCTAATCTATCAAGTCGAATGGCCCCACGAGCCATAGTTGGGAACGAATTAAAGGCCTCGTAAAGCTTGACTTGATGCTCTGGATGAAATACGCCCACATTGGACAGCGCATCAGCAACTTTGTTAGCTTCCCTATAGCAATGCGAAAAACGATCAGGATCTTTCACCAACTGCCAAATCTGCCTAATCTCTCGTCGAATCTTCCAGGGGCATTGAATGCGATTCTGAAGAATTCCAACTAATAATAAAGAATCCGATTGAACATAGAGATTTTGAAAACCCCTATGTACACAAGTTTGAAGCCCAATAAGGAGTGCCCGAACCTCTGCACATAGACTTGTAGTTTCCCCAAGATATGCCGAAAAGCCAATCAAAGGTATGCCATTTGAATCCCGAAGAACCCCACCGCCTCCACTCACTCCCTGGATTGCCCTTAGAACAGCCATCCGTATTTAATATGAACCGATCGGATTCCTTTGCTTCCCAACGAACAAGTTTGTATGTAACCTCAGTATGAGAAGAATACGACCAATCATACAAATGATGAAATGACTGTACTCTGAACACTTGTTTGAAATAAATTCCCACAATGGTCTGGATTTCCGAGAAAATGGCACGACAAATGGCAAGCGGCCTCATCTGAATATCCTCAAACATTGCTTTATTCCTTGCTTTCCAAATCTGCCAACAGACAATACTGGGTAGAATGTGCCCAATAAATCGTTGTATTTCAGAATCATATGAGCTGAGCCACCAACCCACTACTTGAATTTTGCTTTTTGCCTTAGCATTTCGAGTGTGAATGTGGAAATCAATAATCACAAAGTAGAAAAAAAAAAGAATAGTATTACAGCAAAGGATAATTTCAAAAACTTCTTCTAAGATTTCTGATAATCTCACGTTGCCCACCTCTATATTCAAATATTATACTTCCATGCTTTTCTTAAGGACTCAAAATGATTATAATAATCTTCCCAAAAGTAATAAAATGCCTATCAAACTTAAAAAACATATCACCAAGAATCTGCTCATCACCAAATACTATATCACTGTTATGCTACTTCTTTCGTATAGTTTTAATGCACCTTTTTTCACCTATTCAAGTTTTCTTATCCTTTTTATAATCCAAGTCTCCATGTCTCACAAATTCTAGTGTTAATCATGTTTTTTAATTGACTTGTATCTCACTCTTTCCATTTGTTATCATTTTTCCTAAGACTAAAGTTCAATCAACGGCTACAAACACAAATATACGATTGTAAATTTGGCCAAAGGAATATAGCGGAAATGATTTAGGCCTGAGGCAAGACTCTTTGAGACTAGGAGAAAAACAAAAATATATTCATTGAATAATTTGATTTAAATATAAAAACTCCTTAAGGGAAATTTGAGGTATTAATATGAATTTTTTCCCTTACATCAGCCGCATAAAACCCTAAAATGTTTTGGGAATCATGTGGCAATAGATGAAAACACAGGAAATTATATATAATTTACCTAATATTTTAGAAGAAATACATCCCTCTCCTGTATGATTAAAAATTTTAAAAAAATTGGAATGGTTTTTTCCCCCTTTTTCACCCTTTTAATACCAAGAAAAAAAATAAAAAAGTGTCTTCTCCCTTTTTTCCACCCTCTTTAATAACAAGGGGAAAAAAGTCAAAAAAATGTCTTCTTCTTTTTTTCCTCGTGTACTTATCAATACTTAAAATAAGAAAATAGAGAGATAACTCAATTTTAAAAAAGAAAATAAAAATAATACAGAATCCAATGTGCTTATTATTTTAAAATTACTACTTACTCTTCACCCCTACCGCCCACTCTAACTTATTTTAAATTAATTATAATATTGGATTCTTCTTTATTTTCCTTTTTTCTGAAATTGAGTTTTCTGTCAACCTCTATTCAATTTCTTTTTTTTTTTCTTAATAGTTGAGAATGAAAAAGAAAAGGGAACCCTTTTACATTTTTTCTTGGTCCTCTTAGAATGAAAAAGGAGAATAACTGCGAGGTCAAATGCCTGCAAAATAATGTTAAAAAGGTAAATTGATATTAGCACTATAGTTTAAAGGGATAAAGTTATAATAACCCCCAATTTTAGTAACCTTGTTGCTAAAAATAATGTAATTCCTCTCTTTCCAGACATATAGTGTTGATGTTTACTCATCATTTCATAGTGTTTACTCATCAGTCCACAAACCAAAGTTTACTTTTGCCGTATTCTTCAAGTTATTTTAAACACAAAAAATATAAAGATTGTTTCTAGAAACATTACTCGTGAAGGACAACGTATTCTTTGCCAGAAACCATTACTAGAATCAGATATTAAAGCTATGTTTCTTCTGCTGTTAATTGCTTGTATGTAATTGAGATCTTCTCCACCTCGATGCAAACCTAACTGAATCCAAAAAAGTTGTATTTAAGGTGCAATGATTTGATTCTGATAACGATTCTTCAGCAATCATATTTTTCCTTCAAGTCTTAAGTTGTGTCATTTGGTGGGTATCTCTGATTAATTGACTTCGTACCAGCTGCAAATAAATAATATAGAGGACTATTAATACCCTGATACTTGTCTGATCCTTATTAGGCCTGTCAATCGGGCCTAATGAGCCGGGCTTTGATGAGTTCAAGTTTAACTCATTTAATTTGAAACATTTTTGGGCTTCGGGCTATGAGTTTCGGGTTCGTAAATGTGAAACTCATACTTAGCTCATATAATATTTGGGTTGTGAGCCTTAATCGGGTTTAGCCCATGCTCACTTATTACTCCTTAATTTTCTTAATATAATTACTATAACTATTAAGTTGTAAAACTAATTTAACATATACAAGACTATAATATTAAAACTAAACATGAACAAATAATAGTTCTTAAAAAGTATATAAACCAAAAAAATTTTCAACAATATTTATATTTAATCCTTTTAAAATGCATGAAAAATAGTAATAAAACATGCGATCATAAGCCAATGCATCTTTAAAAGTTGAAACTTTTTTTTTATAATCTTGTGATTTAAATCCGAACATGCTTGATGATTTTTGTGTTTGTAGACCAAAAAAAAATCAACCAATAATATGCCAATACAAAAATTTACTCAACCAATAAGAAAAATTAGAGATTTAGTTATGCATTACTAATATTGGCTCTCAAGAAAGCTCATGAAAGAGTCTTTAGATGTATTTTTGTGTTTTGTAATTTATATATATATTTAGTATTTAGTAAAAATATATTTGGATATATAATTATACATAATATCAAAATATAAATATTATATATA